AATAAATGAGGATAAGAAATTACAAATTCCTTTATTTGGTTGTATTTTAAAAATCTTCTCATTTATATAAAAAGTCTAAGTATTAATTAAATATTAAATATTTGGCATCGAAACATTAGTTCAAAGTTATTGATAGAAATAAACTTACAAACAATATAAATAGTAACTATCTGCAGTGTTATTTAATGTTTCTAATAATAAAATTAATAATAAAATGTAACGATTACATCATCAAATGATTTAATTAAAATAAACTAGTAGGAACTAATGCTTTTATTACATCAGTAAAAAAAAGAATTAGAGTCATTAATTATTTTATTAATAGTAATATTAATTAAAATATTGTTAGAGTAGCGTGTGAAAATTGTATATTGACACAATGAAAATGGAAAGATGTTTTCTACATAATAATTTTGCCTTTATTTTGTAACAAAATTAAGACAATGTGTTCTGTTTTGTCATTATTATAATTTCAATGTCAAATATTGTTGTATATTTTTCTTTGTTATTATATGTTTTCTTACATTAAAAAATATAACAATAAGACATCATTTCAACGGCAGTCTGTTTTTCCTTTTTGTAGTTTGTATAAAGAAAAACCTTTGTTTAAAATATAAGAAATGAGACAGATTTCTATTTGATTCTTAAATATATTAATAAAATTTATATTTCATTTTATATTTATTACAAAAAACAATATTAAAGCATTAAGTGAGGAAGTAATTGACTTCTTGAAATATCTGTATATCAATTTTTATTTTCATTTGAGATGATAGATTCTTTATATCGACCATAACGAATCATTTATTTACTTTTGCATATAAAATGCGTTGTTTATGAAATTCAAATATGTTATGATTATCTATAGATCATTAATAACTTGACTTATGGAATTAAAAAGTCTGTTTTTATTCTCTACCGTCGTAGTCAAAGTATTTATAAGATAGTAGATATTGTCCATAAGCTTATCGTGAATATAATACTAGTTCGTCCTCCGGCAGTGCCCAAAATAGCTACTACCAATTTCCTGATTGTCAAGCATTGAAGAAGACGAAGTATATATATGTCAGAATAATATTTCGTAGATTGAAATTCCAGGAGATGAAATTCACAAACAGGTGGATTAATTATAAAGGAAAGTAAATTATGAAAATATTACATACAAAAGTATTATTAAAATTTTAGTTGACCGTAAAAAAACACCCACAAAAAAAACATAGTAAAAATGGCGAGAATTTTATCAAAGTACTTATTTGTATAGAAATAGAAATGTCTATTCTATGAGTTTTTTATCTCAGAGATGCAGCTCATAGCAACCATTGCAGCGATAACCCGTGGCTCTAGCTGCATCTGGTGTCATGGAGTCTTATCTAGCGTCAACACTGATAAGATAAATTTTCCGTATTCCTAACATAAATAACCTAACTATAATGGGAGTCTGACAATTTTAAGGCCTCCAGTTTCCTTTAGGATTACAAATCCAATGACGTCTAGACGTGATTTACACAGGAAAATGTTAAATGGGAATTCAGGACAGCGCTGTAAATAATATTGTTAACAAATATGTAAGTATATTATATATAAATAATATGGTTTATATAAAAGATTAGAACGCGGAAGCCTTGGCACTTTATGTACAACGTATCAAGCCAAAGCGGCTGAATGTCACAAGTCCGATAGTTTGTCGGATTGACGAAACTTTATCAGGAAATATTACAGACCCCGAAAACTTAGTAATTTATTTCCTTGTGCGAAAGTATCTTGTCGTGTAACATATTGGATTTTTTATATAGCCAGTGATAAAGAAGAACTTCCAAGTCAATGGTTCCATATATCTTCTAAATATTATATAGTATTTGTACCTATTGGTCAAAAATCATTATTTATATGTAAGTAGATATTTTTCAGTGACGTTGATTTTTTTTGTACAAAATGTAGCACTCCATTAAATGTTTCACTTTATTACAAATAAATGTCACGACTGCCCGACTGTTTCATTCCAGAAGCTCTAAATTAAAACATACAGCGGGGACTAAATTTTTTTATTGCTGTATCTACTTGAAAAGTCATAAGCATTACGTTAAGAGGAAAAGGCTATATAAAATTAATGTACATATAGCACTGAAAGTGTTATTATTGTGACCGAAAACAACACAGTCAAGAGTCCAAAACAGGGTTCAAGGCCCCTAGAATCAATGTTGTAGTGGGTGATGGAGCGCCAAATGGAATCGACCTTGAACTTCATACCACACAAATAATGGACTACATATCAATCAATGAGATATATAAAAATAAGGAAGATAGATAATTTTATTAATTATCACCCTGCAATACAAATTAGCTTATCCTATATTAAAAGCTCACCGTTATAATGTACGAATATAAAGATTATTTATACAACCTAAATATATATTTGGACAGCGAAAGTCATCGTCCTAAATACGTAAAGTTATTTTTAATTCCCTCCTGACGTCAGACATTTGGGTTACCGAAACCCGTATAATTTAATTATTCGCTAAAAATAGATACGGGTACAGGGGAATGTCCATTCGTGAATCCGGTATTTAATGTAATATTGAGTTTCTAATAGGGTGTAATGATTTTATAATTTAATTTCTCGTAAATTATCACTGCTTTGACATGAAAAAGTGTGATTAAGATAAATTGTATGGGTAAATGCCTATTAAAGTTTGATATGAACACAATGAAACGGAATTTCGCATCTCATATTGTATAGATTAATAAACATATTACAAATTTTTGCACCTATAACAAGGGGTCTACGAAGTTTTAGGAAAATGATCATAAGAAACGTGGATATAGATGTCTTAGCATTTCAACGATATGTTCTTTCATTTATTCACTAGGAAGACTATATATACGTCATGGAAAGTTTGGCTTTTAGACTTATAAAATGAGAATTCAGAGTCAGATATAAATAAAGAATATCGGACCAACTTTGAAAGAAATTTGTGCGACAGAGGATTAATTGAACTAATATTTTAGAATAATTCCATGTTATATACTGATAATTTTCGTTCAAAGCGCAAAAGCTAAAAGATTTTACTACACACAAAAACTCATTGTAGCTGCGATCATAAGGCTTTAACGTCCGACCGGGAGTAAATGACGCAGTAAAAATATAATGAAATGCCAGCGACGTTTGGATGGAATGAATGTTACAACGCAATCTTACAATTTAGTAATACAACGAAATTACTTAAGATTTACTTCTCAAGTTGTAATTTGTCATATTTTTCAAGTAAATTTACACAGTGTATATTTTACAGGATGTATAGGGTAAAACTTCTTCGTTAGACATACTAAAATAACATTGACATAAAATGCAGTATTTGTTCAGCAGCTAATTGTTTTTCTATTGATTGATTGATGACATGTCGGATTCCTACATGAGTTTTGGTACCACTATCGGAAAAAACGAAACTTATAGAATGAATCATTTCATTATTTTTCTATTCGTAAAAGTCTAGTTTTATAAGGAATTCATGGAGGTATAGGACCTAAAAATTATCACAACCTAACATAACGATGCATGGACAAATCAAAATTAAGTTTAAAGGTACAGGTAACGATGCTAAGTGTTTTACGGTTTTCCAGAAGCTTACTGCGGACTTTTTGTTAATGATTTCTGGTTACTTAAACTACAAAATGTAATGTGAAGCAACGACATGTAAAATGAGTGATCAATATAAATATTATTTTCTCATAACACTTTTTTTTAATTATAGCTAACAATTATTTACGAATTTCGACGTTGTGGAGATATTCGTTAGATCGAGTTTTACCAAATAATTTATTAACAGAATCATTATAATAAACATGTACAGTACAGTTCATTTTTCATTTCTTGTGTATATATGAATATAAAATCTGTTTGTAACATGTTTATCAATTCTTTGAGTCGTTACTCTCTCTCACACACAGTAAAGGAAATAAAAACAAAACATTGTAAGTGTAGTAAAATATATACATTGGAATCTATCCGAGATTGTAGCAGAAAATGAAAGTAATAAAAGAGGAGAAAAGGGCTTAGTGGCAGTCTCGAATCTCCAATGACCTACCGCAGGCCGAATTGTTACATAAGAAGACCGTCTGCGATCAAAGGATTACATAGTACCTTCCTTTATTGTCCCATGTTACAAGAACAGAGGCATTTTACGACATCGCGATTTGGACAAAACCGAAAGGATATCAATTGTTAGAGAAAATTTACAAGTACGATATTAAAACTTCAATAGAAAATCCATTTTCTCTTGTAAGATTATTTACATTTGAAATACTAGTCTAGTGACCCTACATAATACAAAAGTCACACTTTTCCTACGAACGCCACCACAAATCGATATTGAGAATATGAATAGAAATGATTGCTTTTATTCGTATAACGCTTTCGCATCACGAATGGATGTGTTGATTTGTTGGAAAACAAAAAAAATTTAAAGATCTGAATATAACTTATAATACGGTTTATTCGTTTTTACTTCATTATAAATTATCACATTTTCAAAATTACAAACAAAGAAATTATATTAAATGGTTTGAATAAACATGTTTAATTTCCTTTCCACCCTACTAACTAAGAAAGTGATTTTCTCGAACTTGTATATAGAAACTACTACTTGTCTTAATTACTTTCTTTAATGGAGTCGAAGCCTCGGCTTAACAAATTTTATGACTCCCTCTTTTCAAGTAATAATTTAAATTTCACGAGCAAATCGACAGTTACGTTTTAATGTTGATTAAGAAGCTCGTAACAGTGGCATTATCAACGTGTTATCAAGATAGCTGATATAGCACTTTTTGTATCAATATTTGTTTAAATATTACATCGTAATCCATGTAGACCATGTGTAATATGTGTAATAATAATATAAAATTGACTTACCTTTTCGTATGTAATAATTTTTTACATATAACATTATAACTTTCACTATATATCCAATGTACGTTTGACACAACCGTCTTAAATCTAGACCTACCTGATGACGTAGTTGACGCAGATGACGCTAATTGGCTTTTGTTGCTTGTCGGTGATGACGGTGGCCTGGGTTTGGACCCAGGCGTAGCCGCCCTTCTTGGCGAGGAAGCGATATTGGCCGGTCTCGCATTGTCCCTTAGAGAACACTGTGAAATATAATTTATATCAATATAAATCCAATATTAACTCAGGAATTAAATTAAAGTCATAATTATAAAGTTTTAGATATAAAAAAGATTGTTATTAACTGTCGTATTATTTAATAATTTAGTTAAAACTTAGCTAAAGAATAAAAATTGTTAAATGAAAAAAGATATTTTGAAGCTGTAAGACAATCGGATTATAATAAAATGAAAATGGAATCCAACGCAAACGATTTGTAAGATTCCGTTTGAAGATATCTTTATCGACTTAATTGAATGAGATTTGAAATATTTTGAAAAATATATTTTATTCATATTTAACTAAATAGCTTATAAATATTGATTCTGTATTATATGTATAACAATAAACTTAACCCTCTGCTAAATAGCTTTTGAATAAAACTAATAACAAAGTATATGACTAAGTTACTGGGGGATAATAATTTTAATCGAAAGATCGGACAGATGATAACTTTATACCAAACTTATATTTGGAAAGTTTATAAACAGTTTCATTGGCGAAATAAATAACTTTTTGGATACAATACAGAAAATTTCAAGTTAAGACGATATTATAAAGTTTTAATGTATTATTTAGTGATTTGATGAAATTAAATATAAAACCGACTAGTACAATACGTTATCAGTCCATTGATTAGTTTATAAGGGGCAGAGTAAAGAAAGTAGATTAAATACACTACATGGAACGATGTCAATGACATTGTAACACGCTATTACCATAAAACTCTACGTGACTATGTACAAGCAAATAAAAACCACAATAAATATACTTTATTTAAAAAAATATATAACTTTTATGTAACATTATGTATACGAAAGAAGAAATTGTGGACATAATTTTCTTGTTATATAAAAAATTACGATGAAGGTCGAAGATGAATATACATATTTATTTGTATTTTTAAATGCCTAAATTCTGAAAGAGAATAGCCGGGCAGTCAGTCGTGTTTCCGGCAGATATAATGTCAATCAAATTAGGTTAAGTGGTCATTGGTTCCCTTTACTGCAGCAGTAGCCTCTCAACAAGACTTGAAAATCTTACCGATGCAAATATATCTGGCAGATTAAAAAGAAGATAATAATATTTGTAGTGTGGGTTTTAAGATTCTTTGTCCATTTATCAATCTTAAAATAACAAAGCTATTCATGCACTCGGGTTTGAGTTGCATTAAGTGTGTAAAAAAAAGAAAATTTATATGTTTGTAATTGTTGTACGAATGTTGCTATGCGCCAAACTGGCAAAGTATCAAGCATCTGCGCTAGCATTGGAGACCGATTCAGTACGTTATTTAGGGAATTCCCTTACAGTTGAACTGGTTATTACATGAAGTTAGACAGTCAGCATTAGTAAAATGATCATCCGGTGATGTTAAGTTTCCTTTACTAATAAGACTGAACTGCGACCCCAGATAATTATTGGTATCGGTGTGAAAATGTCATTGACCTCAAGTGGAAAAAATGTAATCGTTCTGGAATTCAGCCTGATACGCACGTGATAACAATAAGACGAATAAATTACATACATGGAAATAAACTTCTCTTCAGACAACGTAATAAGCATAAAACCATATTATAAAAGTACTTGTTCATATCGATCTAATATTTGACAAAGTATATCACATTGCTATCTTTTTAAAAGATATAATGAGGACGTAATCTAAAGCAGTTCCCATTCTATGTTTTATCTTCAAGTGTAGTACAAAGACATAAAACCGCAAATGGGTCAATATCAGTCGATATTGTTTTCACTAGGTTCAAATAATTCTATTAAACTTATAACAATACCATGTTTCTTTAAATATGTTTAAATTAGTGGAAAGTTTTTGAATAATAGAGACAGACATAATATTATAAAATATTTTTTTGTTTGACGCTGACCTTTTCATGTTATAATTATTCAGATAAGTAAGCCTGAAAAGAATTCTTTAGATAAAAATACTTTGAAATTAAGGTAAACTTTATAGCTTACTAGTTTCACAAAATATAGGAGTTTGTCATGGTCAGGTTAGTGTTAAAATTTTTTATCTTATTGAATAATTCTGATATATGGGTATAGAGGCAAGGGTTTGCTCAGTCGTTTAAAGGACCCGAATACATTGTTTTATATTTGGTAAAAAATCAGAAAATCTGTAACGGAAAATTGTGAACAGGATTTATGGTTGTGGAAAGACGCCGGAATATTTTCATTTTTCACATACCCTTCTATGTAAACAATAATTGGCTATTTAAAAATGTATACGTGTTATAAAAACTCAATTTATTATTTAAGCACATCATAAAAAGTTATTTGTATTTTGATGTATGATAGAGACAGGACGAGATAACGAAGATGTTGAAGAGTTTAACTTTTGTCTTGTTGGATTTCATGTAAAATTACAAAAGTAATTTAACATTCTGCTCCACCGTCTGTTAAGCTATCGTATTCTCAAAACGTATCATCTCTTATAAATCAAGATCCATTTACTTTATCGGAAGGAGGGAATTTAAATTTATTTTGTTGTAACTCTGTTTCAAGGAAGTTTCCAGTTGTTCCGATTTTTGGGTACTGACAAATTTAATTTCTCGTTGGGCCATAATAAAACTTTTTATGAAAGATAATAATACTATAAATACAAAGAATATCTTTCATTAATGGTTGAAAATTAAGAATTAGTTGAAGCCCTTTAAGTTTTAATCATTTTGAATGTTTACCAAGGATCAGTATTTGCACAGCTACTTCGACAAGTTTCCAGATCTAAGGTCGCAACGTCGTGAGAAGGTTCTCATCGGGACTTAAAAGATTGAAAACAAATATCAAAGTCGTTGAGAAGAACATATGAGGTCAAATTACTGTTGGACTAACACGAAGAAATGTTAAAGGACCCTATTTATGAAAAAACTGACACCTAAGTATGAAAATTATTTCACTCCTTACTTCTCAAAAACTACCCGTACTATATATTATACATACATGTAAAATTCTTTGTTGTCGTCAAAATATTTGTAGACTTGCCTTAAATTAATCTGAGATCAATCACTTGCTGCAGTGATGCTTTTACCATCAATCTCTTAAAACTAACAAGACATAACATGACCTTGAATTAGCTGTCCAAAAAATTTTGTGTTATCATCGTTATTATTAATAATTACTATTTACGTTGGTATAATTATAATAAAACATTATAAATTGTAAGAAATAACTGAATTTCACGAGATGTAAAATTATGTTAAAGCATAGTTGCTGGATTAATTATAGAGCAATACAGTTGTCGATATTCTTTTTATTGATATTACATTGAAGTATTTCTACGAGAAAATAATTTCTCCTGAAAGTTATTAAAACTCAGAAAACGTTAACACTGAACAATATAATATATATACGTCGTTAGTAAAAGTTATTTTGGTTTTATCTTGAAGGGTTCGTTTGAAATATTATGGCATCCTTTTCAACGAGAATTAAGAACAAAATTTGTCTACACGTTTGAGCCAATTAGGGAAGCAGCTCCGGGCTTTCTTTTTCACTGAAATAATGCCCCGTTTTCGGCATAAATAACGTTGCTTTAAATTGACAGAATCAAAATTTACCATCACACTAAATATTGTGATTATTATGAAAAAAATACATAAATTTATGGAAACTATATGGCGACCTTATTTCAGTATTATCTTGAAACGACACGTGTAGCTTTGAATATGGCTTGTTCTAGAAAAGTTCAAAACAACGCTGCATCATATCGTCATGAATAGTTAATGTACAGCCCTTATAATGCAGCCCTATTCTCAACTCTCAACCACATCAAACGTAATACAACAGTATCGTTACAGTTTTTATTTTAATTTCATGATATACTCGTATTTTCATAATAACTGGAAAAATTGAGTTATAACTGAAATGATAAAATATTAAACTATTGGCGGCCGTAAACCATAGCTCGTTATCTGAAGGCAGTCGATACGGTCGACCTCGTATTGAAGTTTATAACTTACAACAATAGGGGCTTGGAGGATTTAGCTTGGTACATTTTTATAGAGATTATATATAATTTAATACCCTTATTACGAATGAAATGAATCTCTTATTATTTTTATTTACTGTGGCATAATAACACTGATCTTTTATATCATCTGTATTAAGGAAAATTTTCATCTCAACGTTGAAGGGCGTATCTCTTTTGAAGGGCGCTGGGAATTGTAATTCAGCAAACGAACTCCACAGTTTATACTCACTGTAATAAATCTTGACTTACATCTAGTTAAAGGGGTTTATTGTGTAAATAATACCCAACATAAACTTTGCATGACTGGTTTAAAATGGAAAGTTCTCATCTTTAACAATAATATTGATGACTTATGTATTACGATTATTACAAAAAAAATCTGATTATATCGAAAGTTATTTATAATGAAAAAAATGTATGGCAACGAAATTTTATATTCAAACTAAGCGGCTTAAAATATTTTTAAGTATAAATGTGAACTATTAAAAAAGGAAGTCACAGATTAAAGAAATAAATATCAATAGCTAGTACAGATTTGAATCGTATGGGAACAAAGATATAGATGATGCGCTGTCATACACGAGTTTGGTCAACTGGATGGGACCAGGTTAATTTAAATAAAGCTATTGATATAGGAATGCGGGTAATGTGGTCTCAGAGCGTCAGAGCACGTCCGTACAAATAATATACAGGAGATCCTTTTTTTAGGGATTCTTCAACTTACTTTAAATAAATATAGGATAAAAAAATACATACAAAAATAATACTTTAAAAGGAGTGAACATACAGGGTGACTGGTGAATTACTATCACTATTTAAGGAGAATACTCGGTACATGATTCTCATTCGAATTATGTAAAAAAAAATAGGTACTTAATTTTGACCAAATTCCCGTATAAATAAATAAAGTGTGGACACGTTCCAAGTGTTCCAAGTGTGGACGCGTGCGGCGGCGTGCTGATACAACACCACGCCGCCGCACGCGCGTGTGTGTGTGTGTGTATA